TCATCAACTGAAAAATGAGTATTGAAAACGGACAACCTACTTCGTCCTCATCCTTGTGAGTAAAAAAGGAACGTATTAACGTGTTGTCACTCATCGATTGAAAAACGAGTATTAAAAACGGACAATCTACTCAAAAATACTCATACGCATACTTGCGTATACTCATCATGTTCTTTCGCAGTAGTCTGCGTGCTTGAGAGTGCAAGAAACGGACATAAAAATGATAAAACGGGCTAAAAACGATCTATATGAGGTGTAAAAGCGATGAAATATTTTTGTAAGGGTTAATATTCAAAATCACAACACTTCTTTCAGACTAAGAATCTGGACTATGTCCAGGCTTGGAGGCTTGTTTCCGCTGCACAGAATGGATTAAGGGATGCCAGGGACCAATTTGATCGAGTGTTAATGCATCGAGGTTAATGCATCAAAAAGGTTTGTATCTATTATGTCAAAAAAGTTAGATAAAAAGATAGAAGAAAATCCTTCTCTAGAAGTGGAAAGCCTTTGCATTGACTCAGAGTTGCCACGTAAGAGAGTAAGAAAGATCAAGAAAATGTCTGGTGAGTTGGCAGAAGATGAAACAAACTTCTCCGAAGAGGATAGATTCCGAATAAAAGTTTTCTATGTTGTTATTGGCAAGCTTAACCAGAATATGAAGACCAGATTTGCTGATCAGAAGAACGTATACCTAGATCTTGCATGTTTTGATCCACGGAGGTTTCCTGAGCTTAAACAAGGTTTGCCAGCAAATGCCTTGAACAAAATATGTGATTTAGTGCCTAATATTGACAGAGACAAACTAACTGAAGAGCTACAATCTTTTGTACAAAATTGGCTTCAGATGTCCTCAACGTTGAGAGATGAATATATGTACTAAGGATATGGACATGGATTCAAAAAGTGACGTATCAGAAGAAGCTGAAGAAAATAAAATAATAAAGACATGTCAAATGCAAGAACCTTGAAAGGTGTGCATAAAATGTGTGTATAAAGTGATTTATGACTACAACATGTACTGTTTTTTGTACACAGAGCTGCATAAAGTTTATAAATATCTGCTTACAATACCTCTAACCCAAGTAAGTTATGTGAACGAGTTTTTTCGAAGCTTAAACTTATAAAAACAAGGTTGCGCTCTAATTTAACAAATGACAATTTGGAAGCATTTCTTATAATGCAATGTGAGAGAGACAAGCTTGTGGCACTTGACAATGATATGATTATTATCAATCGACTCTGTGAACAGAGTCAAGAAATGAAACGACTTTTATCTGTGTAAAATATTAGATTGTTTTCAGTTTCCAATTTTGTGAAATAAAATTTACTTATCCCATGAATTTTTCTTTGTTGATAAATAGGTTAATTTTTTTGAGTTTGTCAAAATATTTTGCGTTCTCTGAACATTCAAAACCTGCGTCTTTTTGAAGGCTCCAGTCCGGCCCTGGTGAGATTATAATATAAACATACTTTCGTTTAATGATGATAAAGCTGACGATCAAAACTGCTCCGAGGAGGCCAAAGCCTATAATATTAGCGATTACAATCGCTACTTCGCAAGAAACATCGAGCAGTTCCGCCAATCCTCCTAGGACACATCTCGACGGAGGCTCAGAACCGTCATCAGGCATCGACTCCGATAACCAAACGAAAGACGAAATATTCAAGTCCAAAACGCCGCCCATTACTTCGTGCTTGGCTTCCGAGATATTCGGATAAAAGTTACCAACAATATGCGTTTCATTATCGATGAACTGGACAATATTGATAACAGAGTATCTCGATGGTCCACCCAGAAACTTTATTCTTCCGGATACCTGAAAAAATAGAAACACATTTGACTATCGCAATTTTGTTTATACATATAGTGATCGCAAGATATTTCAAAAGAATTTTTCGACGTAATATCGAGCTATCTTTTAGCGAAAATTTGCAGAAAAATCCTCGATTATGATAGACCATATATTTCTATATATATTTTTATGTCGTTACTTAATAAGTTAATCGATAAACTTGCTCCACTAACCCCATAAAAATCGGTTTCGCTGATAATATGCGTGAGGCGATTGACCGTATGGTCGCTATGAAGATCGAACACATAACTCTGGTTCTCATGGATAAGCCGATCTATGGCATAAGCGTAAGTCCACATGGCGTCGTAGGCGTAACCGGCGTAGTTAGAGGGTTGCTGATTCTGCGCTCGGCAGATGTTCTCGTAACGTTCACGCCACTCGCGTACAGTGATTCCCTCCTGCATTATATCGTCGTCCCGAGCGAAGTACGCGTGCGACAGACCGAGATGTCCGTTTATGGCCTTCATCATTTCGCTCGTGGTGCAGGCTACCTGCTCGCCTTTTTCATTATAGTAATCGGTATCGTACCATTGCGACCGGAGCCAAAGCGGAAGGAACCAGACGTAACCCTTTAAAGTACGAATTAATTAAAACGCTAAAATTGCTGAATTTATCTTTAATTTTATGTAACGATTTATTTGAAAAAAATGGACAAAATGGTAAAATTTATAATTATTACCTGGACAGCTGTCATCTCCAGTTTATATGCTTCGCACATGACTTGACGAGCTACCTCGCCGTATACGTCTGCGATAATAATTTTTGCTCTTTTTTCTTTCAAATCTTGCAAATACTGAAAATTAATATCGTAAAATTAATTATTACGATTTAGATATTACCTACTTTCGCATAACTATTATATTTAAAATATTTATTATTTCACACTGTTTCTGCTCGCCTAAAAATTATATAATTTATAAATATTTTAATTTTTAATTTTTAATAATATTTTATTATTTCCATTTCCTTTTATGCAATACAAATGATTAATTCTCACAAAATTAAACTTACTTTCGTCATCATGTCAGCTTCTCGCTCCCTCGGAAACTTGACGTTCGCCACGAAATCAATGCTATTGTCCCTGAGCATGTCCTGCATATACGATATATACTCGGTGTACTTTTGTCCATCCTCCGTCAGTGAAGCCACTCGATGCCAACCTAGCCTCTGCAAGAGCTGCACATAGACATGTTTGTACTGCTTGTTCTCGCCAATGGTCCTGAAGAAATACGGATACTTGGTGCGATCGTCGAAGCTGGATCCTTCGGCGCTGTAGCTGATGATCACCGTCCTGTAATGTTTCGACACACCGACCAATGGCTCCACGGTTTCCGAGCAAGCCGGCCCCAACACGCCAACCAACTTCTGATAATAATTATGTATGATATAGTCGATAAAGGACTTCATCACCATGTCCGACTTGCACTGGCCGTCACTGGCTAACAGAGTCAAGTTATAATCTCTCAGCAGGGTATTGTTAATGTTGATGATTTCTTTCGCCATCTTAGCAGCAATCACAATTGACTTGGCCATGTAGGAGTTACCGCTCATAGGAAATATACCACCCACGAAGAGGGTGTTCTTGTCGTCGTTATTGGGCTTCCATTCTGCTAGGGTATAGTTCAGATTATCTTTCAACCAATCGCATGCGACTTGTTCGTCCGATAAATTATGAGAATGACGGTAGATCAAATTCTCGTACATCTGTCCATTAAACTTGGCACGAGTTATCGCCTGGAAGGCGATCTTTGCGATTGTTTCCAACCTACTCCACACCAGCTTCGTCAGTCTCTTCGACTCGTACGCGCAACCGATCGAACCTTCTTTCGTTCCAAAATAACTTTCGCAACGTGGAAATTCGATCGTTGTAAAATATCTTTCACTCGGGTTCACTCTACTGGGTGTATAGTGCAGGATCACCAGTGATCTGGAAGAAACTTTGTTGTAAAACTTTATAACACCTCGTTTCTTATAGTACTCGTATCGATCGATGTTTCAAAAATAATGACATATACAGACATACTCTTCAAATCAATACCTGTTCTCGATGAAAGCCGATGAGTTCCGTGCGTGGAGTGTGTGCTCGTATGTTCCAAGCAACTTACGGGTTAGATAGCCGAGATTCGGACCCACCCATGCCACCTTGACGTAGAGCTTCATCTGATCGATATGTTCTTTTACGAAACGAGTTTCGTCAGGGTATGCGGCTAGCAGCAGCGCGCAATTCGGCGGCCTTTGCTGGCCTCGGTCGCGACATCGTTCCGGGATGTACATCCCGTCCTGGCAAAAGGCCTCGTGGCAGTAGTACTCCGTCATATTCTCATTTTTCATGTGATTTTTGACCATCTGCAGGTTCACCCCGTCGATGGCGAACCTGCTAGCAGTCTCCAGCCTGGTGAAGACCAGCCAACTGTCATCGGGCCTGGCCAATTCTGTCGGAACGAACCAGCCGAAGTGACCCGGTGGCGCTATCGAGCCGCATTCCTTCACGTCGTATTTGCTCAGCAGCGGCGACGTGTCCTGCTGCGGCGGAATCCACACTTCCATGTTCACCATGGTTTCTGGAAATCTGTGATTGAGACGGGAATGTTAATCGCTCGATTTAAATCCGCGTACATTTCTCCAACGGGGTTTGATGGTGATATGAATTCGTTAGTGGCTTAACCTTTTGACGCTTTCAAAAAAATAAAAGAGATATTAAATATATCGCAGAATCATCGATAATTTATAACATGTGTAATCATGGCCGCTTAGCGCAGCAAAAAGAAGACATTGAATTTGAAAATTGATACTTCCCCATCTTCTTATGATTGCCAAATGTGTTGCCATATGTTAATTAACTGTATATTTTATTTAACATATTTATACCATTAAAGAAAAATATTGTCAATCGATAGTCGACAGATCTCGAAACGACATCGAAGATTGTATTTACAGACAATTCAAAAAGAATTTAATACATATGCAACGTTTGCAATACCTTGTGCTCTGAAAAGGACATAAGCTGTTTGAAGCTTGTATAAAAATATATACTATTAAATGATTGAGAAGCGGCGCACGAGAAACTTGATTGTTGTCAATAAATACATTCTGAATATTTGCCGGAGAAAGTACTGTTATCGAGGTAGAATATAATCGCTCAACAAAGAAGAGCGTATTTGCGATAGGTGTTCTCGATTAATTTAATCGGACAGCCGTAGACATAGTGTGACATGGTATTCTTATGAATTGAGTATACATATCGATCGTATATTTAATTCGCTTTATGCAAATATCATAAAAAGAACCAGTGCGTCTATTTACAAACTTATTGAAAAACAAATGGTCAAAAAATTGTTGCAATCTTACACATGATATTTGTTACAATCCAGAAGAATCGAAAAAGAAAAGCCGCGAGATATTCAAGGAGCTCTGTAGATTCAAATATACTATTACACAGCGTCTACAATTTATCCGGCCGTCTTACATTTTGTACTCGGAATATGTTGGCCTTTCGGACAGTCTCTCGAAAACTTCGGACGCATTGAAGTGGTCATTCTTCTTGACAATATCGACTCCGGTATAGCCCAATACTTCGGTCAGAAAGATCTTCATGACCTCTGACACCAACCTGTGTGTCAGTCTTCTCGACACCTCGAAGGTAATATTCAAGAATTGACCCTCGTGATGGATCACTCTCTTTGGATTTACCTCTGTGAAAAATTAATTAAAATATTTTGTATTAAAATAATCGTAAAAAATCAATAACTCCGAAAAAAAATAATTTTACGCGATTCGATCGGGATACAATAAAAATTACAAGATTATACTTGAAATAAAGTCCCTCTAATAAGAGTCGCGACACGTATAAGCAGCAACTTTTGATTGGTTCGCATTTTCGGCAAAAGCACGAGAAACAGAAAGAGATATAAAAGAGAAAGAGAAAGCGATATGAATGTATATCACTTGTATATCGCTTTCTCTTTCTCTCTTATTTTTCCGAAACTCAAGATGTCGCGACTCTTATTTTAGAGGAACTCTATACTTGAAAGCTCTATACTAGGAAAATCGCTGCGTATGTAGAAACGCATTTGTAGAAATACATACGTAGAAATACAAGGTCGCTCTGCCGTCCATATTCAAATCGCAAAAAATCAATAACTCCGAAAAAAAAAAGAAATTTTACGCGACCCGCTCGAGATACAATAAAAATTACAAGATTATGCTTGAGAGCTGGAAAATAAGCGAGATGAGAAATCGCTGCGTATGTAGAAATGCATTTGTAGAAATGCATATGTAGTAAATACATATGTAGAAATACAAGGTCGGTCTGCCGTCCATACCGTACAATGTAAACATCTGAGAAAAACATGTAGCCGGGGCAAGAACGTTTCCGGCCGTTGCCAATCCGCGGGATGACATACTATGTTTAAGCGCTCGATAATAAGTGAATAAACTACGCGGCATTAACGCATACGGAATGTATTCAGCTTCTAATTATACGCCGCGAGGCTCGATATACCTAATTACTCATCGACTGAGTGATCATGCACGGATGAATCGTGAGAGCGATTCAATTAATGTTTAAGCCGCGTCTGACCATCTCGGCAATTAGCGGGTTATTCCACGTGGCGCCGTTTCTCCGATGGTGCGGCAATGATATCGCGTCTTCGGACCTGACAAATGCGCCGTAATTGAGCCGCAACGATCGGGCCGACGATAATGAGCGGCGATTTACCTTCCAGCATTGTCAGACAGCGATTCGAGTCCGCGATCTTCAACACGGCCACGAGGGCCAGCAGGCCCAATACGGATCCGGGTCTCAGCATCGTGACCTTCTCATCCTGCAACAGACATCGGCGCGCTCTATTAAGATTGCTCGTTAGAAATGAATTAATTTAGTCACGAGTTACGACCGCGATCGGTCCGTGAGGTAATAAAACGATTTAGAAATGATCGCATTATACCAAGTTAATAATGCTAGAGAGGTTGAAAAACACCAATGGAAAACACAATAAGTAGCAATTAAAACTCAAACTCGTTCTCTCTTTTAATCTCTCTTTTTCTCTTTGAACATTATTTCCTTGTAGCGTTTGTGCAGCTATAATTGCGATGTTATTTGAAAACAAATCAATATTCCTCGTTCATAAATTTATGCGTATTTTCGATAAATTTCATAATAAAAAATAAGAATCAATGAAAAACAGCTTGACCAGATAAAGTGGTGTCTCAGGTATCACGTCAGGTATATATTATATATACCTATATATATATATATATCTATACTATTATATAAAATCCTTACGGGTGGTGTATGTTTGAACGTTAATAACGTGAAAACTATTGGACCGAATTTTTACCACAAGTACATGAAATAGGGCTAGAATTTTCCGGGGAGTGCTATAGAGTGTGTAGTTTTTCGTTACCGATTTTCTGAAAACCGATTTTTTTAATTTTTCTAATTCTTACGGGTAAAAGAATTAAAAAAATCGGTTTTCAGAAAATAGATAACGAAAAACTATACACTCTATAGCACTCCCCGGAAAATTCTACCCCTATTTTATATAGTTTTAATACAAATTCGGTCCAATAGTTTTTAAGTTAAAAACGTTCAAACATACACTACACTTGTAAGAATTAAAAAGAATTTTTAAATGAGTTTCCAAAAAATAGATAACGAAAAACTATACACTCTATAGCATTCGCCGGAAAATTCTACCCCTATTTTATATGGTTTTAATATAAATTCGGTCCAATAGTTTTTAAGTTAATAACGTTTTTTTTTATTTTTCTAATTCTTACGGGTGGTGTATGTTTGAACGTTTTTAACTTAAAAACTATTGGACCGAATTTGTATTAGAACCATATAAAATAGGGGTAAAATTTTCCGGGGAGTGCTATAGAGTGTATAGTTTTTCGTTACCGATTTTCTGGAAACCGGTTTTTCTAATTTTTTTAATTCTTACGCGAAATAATTGACCGAATCTCGGAGAGGGAGAGGGGGAGAGAGAGAGAGAGAGAGAGAGAGAGACTATTGAGCGAGATTATTTGCGTGTATTATTACACATGTCCTCCGGGGCGAAGCCCGGGTAACCAGCTAGTATATATATATATATATATATACACATAACTTGGCGAGACTTTTTCAATTGATTATGTATTCTTCCACCATCAACAATTTCTTACCATTTGAAACGTGTTTGTTCCGTCTGCATCAAGAATTCATGACAAACAATGTTGAAAGGCTAATAAAAATACGCGTAAGCAAATAAATAAATTTCTCTCAGATTGTCTCGGGTATCTGATCGCCAAGTGACGCCGTATTTTCCTGAATCAGCCGGCACATAAATAACATTCGCGCTCGACATTGCGTCTAGAAAGTGCCGGTGCCACACACAATGACATTCCGTTCAGAAAATAATTCTGACGACACACAATCCAGAACCGTGAATGCATTGTATTTTACAAAGTGTCTGATGAGAGAAGAAAAAAGAAAAATGACTCCCGTTTCCTCTCGTATATACGTATGACCCCTTTATCGTATCCGGTGTGAACACGCGGTAAGGTCAGTTCTGCAATTTAACCTGGGAGAGATTAAGGCCCGGATTAAATACGTGAAAGTCGTAGATACATATCCGCCTACGTCTTGTCTATGTCAGGGAGCAACTCTTCTTGGATATACTTATGCTTTCTTTGTTGATTCCTAGGTACCCCCGATTTAGATCTAAGATCATTTTCGTCGCTCTAGTCAGTCTCACGCGACAAGAAATTGTGGCGCAACAACGCATTCATATTTATCACGCACTGTTAGTACCCGTGAGCGATATCGCGTCGTTATCAAGGGAGGTGGCGTAGGGCGATAGGGTTGCGAGGAATTACGAAGGTAACGGACGTGTTCAAGCAGCGGCCGGTACCGGCCGATCTTATCTCCCCGCGGCTGGTTCTCGCGGCGATCGAAAAGGCGCCTTTTTTCGGTCGCGCGCGATAGTGCGCCGCACGGTGCGAGAGAGGCGGATCGAAGGGACTTCCGGTTTCTACGAAGCTAAGCGATGGGAAGAGACGCCGGCGGGGTCTCTTTGGCAGAGTGTCTACGGCGCCGATGTGCACGATGACTCGTGATTTAAGCGCATTCGACCTGAAAAGATTAGAGTTCGCTAAGCATAAATGAAGCGTGACTCGTTTTGTATATAAGATTGTCTATAGAAAAGCGACAACCGGTCATGAATAAGTTCATTTAGAAGTCAACCACATAATTCAGTCTCAAAATCGGATATCAAGCTTTTTTTCATCGTCGACAGCATTTTGTATTTTGGAAAAATGACGATAGAAATCACATGTTTTATTGCATTATAGTTACTAAATTAGACTATTATTTATGCGACTTTTTATTTGAGTTCAAATGTAACCAATTTTATTTTAACAAATTTTTATTGATGCAAAATAGAACATTTACAAGTTCGTTTACTCAAAACATACTCTTTGTGAGCTATATTGAGACGAATTGAGTCGTTACGGCTCTACGTGTAATTTAAGTAGGTATTATCGACCCAGTGAAATTTTGCGTGTCGCTTCGCCGCTGGTGCAACATCGAATGTGCCAAAGTTACGGATCCTTGCGTGCGGTCTATATCAACTTGGGGATTACGTCTGAAAAGCTAAATGGGCGGCAGCAAAGGGGTAAGAGAGGGCAGGGGCCGTTATACGCTTGAAAAGTCCAGACTCGTCGGCGCCCGGATGCCGCCGCGACGTCTGAACTCCGGTCGTATCTTCGGAAGGTATAAAACAACCATCGCGTTTCGTCGGGGCTGAATTGGGCACGGCGAATTTCGTCACGCCATTTGAGCGCGCCGACGTATTTCTTTACTGCGAAGCCGATAGACGACGCGAGGCGTGGACCGAAACTTGCATATAAGAAGCATCAGTGATTGATTCTTGATTCTTGATCATTGATTTATTTAAAGAGTAAAATAACATACTATATATTTTTTTCTCGTGGTACAAAAAATATAAATGTTAAAATTATGTGGATTACATCCATAAATATCAATGTTAACACGAAACATATATGTAAATGTCTGATTTTAAATTTTAATTTTATTAATAGCCTATTGCATTTGATTGTACTATACTTATGATATTTAAAGTATAATATATAGCTTTATTTTTCAATATACATATTATTTGCTTTTAATAAAATATAAAACCAGTTTTTAAAGAAGTAGCTGTAAGTCTCGTAACTTTATGCAAGGATCAATTCACAGATAGCCAAACATGTGCAAGTTTCGCTTAAAAAAGACCGTGCGTGGAATCCATGACGACGCAGTCGTCGCCTCTCGTCCATCAACTCCGACGAGTAAAATGTGTACAAATGTCGTCGCGACGCTATCCGACACATCATCTGTCCAAAGCGGCTCCAGAGAGACCGACAGCGACGCGTTTGTCAGTTCCACCGATAAATCTGCGCAGTTTGTACGGCGAAGGGTGAAAATATTTCCTCTTGTCTTCGCATGGCGTACCTCAAATTTCTGCCTTTCGTCGTTGCACGACATATTTATAAATCACAAAATTAGGAAAATTTCGATGAGGAAAATTGTGATATGATTTTAATTAATGCAATCAGAATTTCAGTTATGCAACCAGAATTCCTATTAATTCAACTAGATTCTGGTACATTCAACCAGTATTTTCTGGTGGAAAATGAACGAACTAGATGTTTTTCAGGCGCAATTCCTACGCATATACAATTAAATAGAATATTTTTGTCTTCCTATACATCGTTCTCCTAAATTTCACGCGACGCTATAATTCGGCTCTCGAAAACGGATGCTGACGAAATTTTAACCCCGTTTATACGTCGCACCGACTGAATTATGCAGAAAGCGACGCAAAATATCACGCACTAGCATCTCGAGGCGAACGACGCAAAGAAGACAAGACGACCGAGCGAATGACGAAACGCTCGCAATTTAGATACACTGCAGTGGCGTCGAAGTGCAATCCGACCTTACGCCCCCCGTTATCACGCATGAATAAGACATTATCAAACGTAAATCGGTTGAACTTTGCGTGAACGCTTTGACTTTCGTCACTGTCATTCAGAATCTTTTCCATAAAAGTCTTTACGCAATGCTGATTCTGGTTATGAATGAGACGCAAAAATTGCCGACGAGGAATAGATATCGCATAAGTACTTTTTTTTGCATTGCCATTGTTGGAATGGCTTTAGCGTGGTTTAGCGTATAAATGCGTCAAAATGTAAAAAATTTCTGAGAACGGCATCTCCCACATTTCATATATTTATTTCACTAGTAAACGCACGGACTTACATCTTGAATGTAATACGCGAGTTGAAGCGTGAACCGTTCAATTAGGATCAATTTTTCAATTATGTAAATCATGAAATTTGTGAAGCAGATAGTCCCACATCTCAACATGTGATTCGATCAAGATATCCGAAAATTCTTCCGTTAATACGAGAGCAGAAAAGAGCAATATTTGTTGTTTTAGTTCCAAGGTCTTCGCAGTGCATACCGTCTTAATGTAATAAAATCGCTCACATACAGTTGCAACGACACGTGCTCCGCGGTTCCTCTTCCGCCGTCGATTATGCCTTTGAGCTTTGCTCCGATTACATTATCATAACAAAAGAGATGACGTTTGCTGCCAATTGAACCTATAAAACTTTCTTCAAAATGAGTTTAATATCTCGTTTCGGTTTATCCTTGGCCCACATGGAATACGAGCGAATGAAGGAGATGCGGGTTGAAATAATATAAAATGCAAGATAAGGAAAATGTGAAAATAATACGACAGTATTTTATTTAGCTTTTGTTCTTTGTGGTTTC